CATATGACCCAAGTGGCAAAGTAAGTTGCACAGCAGCCTGGACTGTTGCAGAGACTTCTTTTCTCTCACTTGGTGTTATGCCTCTTTTTTTTTTTTTAACAGTAGGAAGGGCCAGATGTAACAACTTATCCTTTACTTAGAAGTGATATCTTGATATACTCAACTCCACTGGAGCCCTAGAAATTTCACTGAGGTAGAAGGCCTCTGAATTGGAGTAGATTTATTTTCCATCCTCTGACATGCAAATATCTTACCAATATGTGTACAGTAATTGGTACTTCCTGTCTACCAGAATAAATCAGCATATCATCATCAATGTAATAGACCAGTGTGATGTTCTGTGGAAGGGGAAGGGGATTTAGTCCCTGCAGACTAAATCATGACATAGGGCTGAAGGGTTGATATAACCTGTGGTGGGACAGTGAAGGTGTGCTGCTGACCTTGCCAGTTGATTCCTTCCGGTGGTCTTTTTCAACACATATAAAGGAAAAAGCATTTGCCAGATCAATAGCTGCACACCAGGTACTGGGAAATGTGATTTGCTCAACAATGAAACCACATCTGGAATAGCAGTGCAACAGGGATCATCACATAATCGGATTTACAAAAATCCAGTCATGCTCCAAGATCCATTTGTCTTCTGCACATGCCAAATAGGTGAGTTGAAAAGGGATGTGATGCGTATCACAACCTTTGCAACTTTCAAGTTCTTGATAGTGGTACTAATCTTTGCAATCCCTCCAAAAATGTGGTATTGTTTGGGTTTACATTTTTATAGGTAGCAACAGTTCTAGTGGCTTCCATTTGTCCTTTCCTACAGTAACAGCATTCACTCTACAGGTCAGGGGACCACTGTGGGGATCCTGCCAGCTGCTGAGCATGTCCATTTTTTATGCATTCCGGAACTGGGGAAATAACCACAGGATGTGTTCAGAGACCCACTGGGCCTAATGCAAGATGAACCTGAGCTAAAATTCCACTGATAATTTGACCTTCACAAGCCCCTACTCTGATAGGTAGATACTACAGTGATATTTTGGGTTTCCATGAATTAGGTCAAAGCCACTGTCTACTAAGCCCCAAAAGTCTGGTTATTTCCTTTCCCCCAATGAAAAGTCACTCTTGTTGATGGCTGTAGGACCCTATGGGGAAGGCTGGGGAAAAAATTAACACTATACATTTTTGGCACTGAAGTCGGGTCCTTCCTCAAGAAGACCTGGCCTGCCCTTCATTCAGAGTTCTGGGTATGTAAATTGGCTCAAGCCTGGGAACTGATTGAGGGGCTGTGACTTTCTGTTTCGGTGACACAAGTTAGGGTTTCTGTTCATAGACCCAGAACTCTTCTGCTAATCTATTTTTTGGCTGCACTGTGCAGCTTGTGGAATTTTAGTTCCCTAAGGATTAAACCAGGGCCCTCGGCAGTGAGAGCACTGAGTCCTAACCACTGTACCACCAGGGAGTTCCCAGAACTCTTCTGCTTATAAAGACCAAGTAAGAATTTAGTAATTATCCAACTATTTCTTTTCTAGGGACACCATGATCAACTAGCCAATACCACAGGTCTCTGTGAGTCAGACAATTCTGATTACTGCTTTGGCTCAGCTGTCCATTACAGCAACCACACTGGTACCTACCTGCCACCCTGAGATCCCATCATCACCACTGCATTTAAGAATCTCAGTTTGATGATAACAGGTTCCATTGTAAGATACATCTGAATACAGAGAGGAGCAATTGCAGAGCTCTTCAAGGGTGCTGGGACTCACTTCACAAATTACTTCTCATAGTCATGTTGAGGGTAATGTCCTCTGGACCCTCCCAAGGTGGGTGAGAAAGTCTTACATGATAAATCAACTCTAAGATTCCCATCTTCCCAAGACTTTGGAGATCTTCCTGTACAGTATCCTAGGCAGTTCTGGCACTTCAACTTCATTTAGTGTAGGCACTTTTGGGTGGAAGGAAGTCAAGTGATCAATGGTGTTTTCACTCAGTTTCTTCTCACAGTGGGTCCATTGGGCTCTGAAAGCCATCTTGTGGTTATTTTCTTAGTTCCACGGGTACAACTGGAAGAGACATACTCAGCAAACAATCAAACAAACTTAATCTTTTTCTAACCCTTTGAGGTAAAATATCTGCTTTGTAGGCTCTTATCAATACATTCAGCCTGATGGTATTTTACAAGCCTTCACCTTTATCCCTGTATTAGTTTCCTAGGGCTGTTACTGCAAAGTACCACAAACCGAGAGGCTTAAAACAACAGCAATTTATTCTCACAGTTCTTGAGAGCAGATATCTGAACTCAAGTTTTCAGCAGGGTCATGCTTCTTCTGCAGGCTCTTTGGAATAACCTTTGTCTTTTCCTAGCTACCAGCAGCTCCTGGCATTTCTTGGCTTCTAGCTACATCACCCCAATCTCTGCCTCCACCTTCACATGTCCTAATTCCTTCTGTGTCTATGTCTGCATCCTCTCTTCTTATATAAGGATACCACACATTAGATTTAGGACCCACTCTAATCCAGCAGGACCTCATTTTACCTGATTACATCTTCGAAGAACCTATTTCCAAATAAGGTCACACTGCATTTCCAGTTGGAGAATGAATTTTAGGGGACACTAGCCATCCCACTATAATCCCACACCCTTAACATCCATACAAAATTTGGCTGCATATTCTTTTGTATGGTCTGAATTTTTTTAGCATGTGTATTTACTTTTTCAAATAAAATTAAAGCAGAAAACCCCCACAGTTCTTTGCCATAAAATGCAAGTATTCTTTTCAGCCAGTTTCTCCCTTTGATGCCCATTACTACATAGTCTCCCTATACTGGTTTCCTTGTCTTGCCCTTCTCCAACCTTTTCTCTAACTGCAGACAAAATAATCTCCTTCCGGGGCTTCCCTGGTGGCGCAGTGCTTGAGAGTCCGCCTGCTGATGCAGGAGACGCGGGTTCGTGCCCCGTTTCGGGAAGATCCCACATGCCGCGGAGTGGCTGGGCCCGTGAGCCATGGCCACTGAGCCTGTGCGTCCGGAGCCTGTGCTCCGCAAATGGGAGAGGCCACAACAGTGAGAGGCCCGCATAACGCAAGGAAAAAAAAAAAAAAAAAATCTCCTTCCGATCTTTCAAGGAGGATCAAACACAAGGTTCCTCATCAGCTGAAGGAGGCTTTTCAAGATCTGGTCTCCAGTACCCTTCTTCCAGGTTCATCTTTCAATAAAACCCCATTATGAACCCGTTTTACCCCAGAACCCCTTGTAGGTTTCCGAACTGCCCAAGCCATTCCCTTCCTCCATACTTTGGCCCTGCACTCTTTGCCCCTTGCACCTATGACTGCTGCTCATCTTTAGCAGCTACTCCGCTACTCCCTCCCTGGACAGGAAGCATTTTTGTCTTCTCATCTTTGAAGTCTGTTAATATTTTCCCTTTGCTCTTGCTCCTCCTAAATCAAATTTCCTAAATTTTTTTTTAAAAAATAGATTTATTTTATTTATTTATTTATTTTCGGCTGCGTCGGGTCTTTGTTGCTGCAGGCTTTTCCTAGTTGCGGTGAGCAGGGGCCACTCTTTGTTGTGGTTTATGGACTTCTCACTGCAGCAGCCTCTGTTGTTGCAGAGCATGGTCTCCAGGCTTCGGTAGTTATGGCACGAGGGCTCAGTAGTTGTGGCTCGCAGGCTCTAGAGCACAGCCTCAGCAGTTGTGGCACGTGGGTCCAGTAGTTGTGGCTTGTGTGCTGTAGAGCGCAGCCTCTGCAGTTGTGGCTTGCAGCTCAGTAGTTGTGGCTCGTGGGCTAGCACAGGCTCAGCAGTCGTGGCTCAGCAGTTGTGGCACGTGGGCTCAGTAGTTGTGGCTTGCAGGTTCTAGAGCGCAGGCTCAGTAGCTGTGGCACGTGGGCTCAGTAGTTGTGGCTTGCAGGTTCTAGAGCGCAGGCTCAGTAGCTGTGGCACGTGGGCTCAGTAGTTGTGGCTCGTGGGCTCTAGAGTGCAGGCTCAGTAGTTGTGGCTCGTGGGCTCTAGAGTGCAGGCTCAGCAATTGTGGCATGTGGCTCAGTAGTTGTGACACACGGGCTTAGTTGCTCAATGGCATGTGGGATCTTCCCAGACCAGGACTCTAACTCGTGTCCCCTGCGTTGGCAGGCGGATTCCTAACCACTGTGCCACCAGGGAAGCTCCCCAAATTTCCTATTTGAAAGAATGTAGTCCAACAAGACACACACACACACACACACACACACGCACGCACACACACGCTGCTGCGATGGCTCACCGGTTGAGTAGGACCATGTCCCCCTTCTCACGGAGGGGATGGCTGTTAACTCAGCTCTGGAGCCACAAGCCCGGCACCACGCCGAAGGCCAGAGCCCGCCGGGCTCCAGGCTCGGGGCTGGGTGGTGACGGCATTGCCCATGGGAGGCCAGGGAAGCAGCACATCACCCACTTGGACCACATCCCTCGCTCTACAGCCGAGGAACCTCCGGCGGAGGGCGAGGCTCCGAAGCCCAGAGCGACACTGTAAGGCGCCCAAACATATTAGCGCCCTTCACGCCCCAGGCCGGCCCTCCTCCTCCTCACCGAGGCCGAGTCCCGCCGCCCGTCCAGCGCTTTCTCTCCCTCACGCCCGGCGACGCGAGGACAAGGAGCTGCCGCGACTCCTAGATCAATGACCGCGCGCTGGAAACTCTGGGGCTGGCCAGCAGCGCGCGGGGGTGGAGCACGCGCAGTAGTGTTTCGCGTCGGCGGCCCTATCGGGCGGCTTGGCCCTCGCAGGCGCATGCGCAGGCCCCGCGTCTCAGGACTCCCGGCCGTCGCGGGCCGCGCCCCCTCGCCGCGGGTCAGAGGTCGCGGGGCGGGAGGTGGTGACGTGTGCGGAAGCGTCCTGTGAACCGTCGGTAGCCGGCGGGCAGCAGAGCTGCAGCGGCGGCCACGGCCTGGCGCCTCGACGGGAGGGGCTCCGGATCGCTGGGAGGCGGCCGAACCCCTGCGGCGCCACCGCTTGCGGAGGCCCCATGAGTCGGGGGACGATGCTTCAGCCCGGAGCGTGGCCCGGGGAGAGCTGTGCCGAGAAGCCGGCGCGGGAGGCGGGGGCCGCGGCGCTGGAGGGCGAGAGAGCGGTGGCCGAGGGGCAGCCGCGAGCCGCGGTGCGGTGCCTGGCCGAGCAGTGAGTGCGGGGCGCGGGGCGCGGGGCGGGGGGCGGGGACGGCGGGAGCGGCGTGGGGCCCCGGGCTCGGCACCCACGGGCGGGCGTGGAGTGGGGTGAGGTGGGCGGGGGAGGAGCCGGCGGAGGGCCCTTCGCCTCCTTGCTTTTAAGTAAGGTCGTCGGTGAAGACACTTTTGTATCCAGTGTGTCCGATGACAAAAGTTTTTCCGGAAGGCGCGTTTTAAAATTCTGGTTATCCAGTACCCTCCCCCGCTTTTTTGACATTTCCATATCTCTAAAGCTAAAGAAAGCTCCAGCAACTTGGGAAACAGACTCCAGAAGCATATTATCTTATAACCCACTCCATTAGCGCTTCCCCCCAACCTGTCGCGGCAAGGGGCTAAGGTTGTCGCCGTCACAACCCCAGGAAAGCTGAGCCACGCGACCTGTTTGTTCTTGGAAGGCAAGTCTGCGCTTGATGAGCGTTCCACCTGTTGGACAGACTTTGGACGGAGTCTGCTCCAGTTCTTTTGCCCGTTAGCTGCTTAACTAGATGTCCCCAACCGCCTTGATTTTTAAATACGAAAGGCAGTGCTGCTTAGATCAATTCCTTATTGAACTGTAAAGGCGGCTGCGTACATCCGAAGAGTTTATAGTTTCTGCAAGGATTTGGGGGCAGGGGTGGAAGCAGAATATAAACTTGAAGGCTGAAACTTTTCTGCACTTTCAAGTTCTAGTCACATATAAATGCCTTTGGAATTCCAAAATTGATGAAAGCACTCAGGTAACCAGTTTGACAGAGATCTTAATTGGCTGGAAAGTGTGCTTTTTTTCCCCGCATTTCCTAAAAAGGGGTTCTGGGGGAGCTGTTACTGCAGATAATGTATTACAATAATTCTCACTTGCATGGCTCTTTATCGTGGTCTTTGACCTTCTCCTTGAGCACCCAAGCCCCTTGGGATGGTATTATCCACACTTAATGGGTTAAGATTTAGAGCAGGAGGTCTCAAACTCCTGCCCCCAGGAGCTAGGCAGTTTCCTGGGTTCCTGCAGAGCTGAGTCCTATGGGGACAGGGTCCACTAAGTTCCAGCCTATAGAAGATTCCAGATATTCTGACTTTTGTTTGAAATGTCCTGATTTTTATTTAAATTACATCCAGGTGTTGCACTTTTATTTTTTAAAATTTTTTGTCTGTGCCACACGGCTTGCGGGATCTTAGTTCCCCATCAGAGATTGTCACCACTGGACTAAAAGGGAATTCCCCTGATTTTTAAATAGTAGCCTTTTATTTTATTTTTTAATTGAAACCACTGTGCAGGCCCCTGTGAGCAGATGTGGTTGCAGTTTTGCTCCCTGGGTTTGAGCCCTACCTAAGACTCTGCAGCGGGTGAAGTTGGGGTGCGCCTGGGGGTGGTCTTTGCCTCTGCCCCTTCCCAGCCCGTGCTGGTTCCTGCCTGCAGCTTCCAGGCTGACTGCTGCTGCCGCACTTAGGCCCCGGTGGTCTCAGCTGTGCTCCCCACCTAGCGGCCCTGGCCCTCAGATGCTGTTTCTCAGCCTCAGCTGTGTCGTGCCCTCCTGGGAGATGCAGAAACTTTGAAGTCCGAACCACGGTCCCCCAAATACACAAAGTTATTTGGCAAGCTTTTCTGCTGGATGTGGTTCCCAGAGTCTGAGCACCTGGGGAAATGGGTCATGGTGCAAAAGGAACGCTCTT